GGGTGGGGTCGGGTCGGGCGGGACATTACAGTATGATGCATCATCGAGTTGGCACGCGAGTACCCTAACGGGCGGGGCGGGTCGGGTCGGGCGGGCGGACCCTAACGGGCGGGTCGGGTCGGGCGGGCGGACCCCAACGGGCGGGTCGGGTCGGGCCGGCGGGACATTAAAGTATGTTGCGTAATCGAGTGGGCGCGCGAGTGCCCTGACGGGCGGGCCGCCCGGTTCCGACCCGCCCGCCCGCCGCACGCCGCCCGCCCGCCGCCCGCCGCCCGCCGCCTGCCGCCCGGTTCCGACCCGCCCGGTTCCGCCCCGCCCGGTTCCGACCCGCCCGGTTCGGACCCGCCTAGAGAGCGCTGCCACATGGGACATCGTGACGGCGGAACAGGGCCGGACGGAACAGGGCCGGCGGAACAGGGCCGGCGGAACAAGGCCGGTCGGAACAGGGCCGGTCGGAACAGGGCCGGTCGGAACAGGGCCGGTCGGAACAGGGCCTGGTTGGAACAGGGCCGGCCAGAACAGGGCCGGCGGAACAGGGCCTGGTCGGAACAGGGCCGGTTCCCCACCCCGCGACACACCCGCGACCCCACCCCGCGACCCACCCAAAATTTTCGGCGCCTGCGGCGGGCCTCCGCTTCCTCCTTTGTGACTCCTCCTCCTCCTTCTCCTCCTCGTTGTGCTCGCTTTCGTCCTCTGCCTCTGCGCCCGCCCTTCCCTCCTCGTCGTCCTCCACCGCCTCCTCCTCCCCCTCCTTCGACTGGCGGCGACAATCAGGTTCCCGGGGTACTCCCCAGGAACACGGCAATTTTGGGTGTGTTGGGGCCCTCTTGGAGGCTTGTTGGCCCGTCTTTGAAATATCAGGGAAGGCAAGGAAGGATGGAGGGAACAGAGGCTGAGTAAGGCTTGAGCTTCCGTGCTCGTCCTCGTTCCCCTCATTCCGTCCGCCCTCATCCTCCTCGTCGTCCTTCTCCTCCTCTGCTTCTTTTTCGTCTTATTATAAGTAGTAGTAGTAGTAGTAGTAGTAGTAGTAGTAGTAGTAGTAGTAGTAGTAGTGGTAGTAGTAGTAGTAGTAGTAGTAGTAGTAGTGGTGGTGGTGGTAGTAGTAGTAGTAGTAGTAGTAGTAGTAGTAGTAGTAGTAGTAGTAGTAGTAGTAGTAGTAGTAGCAGTAGTAGTAGTAGTAGTGGTAGTGGTAGTAGTATCACTACTGTTCATATTCGTATTATCATTATTATGATTGTCGTTGTCCCTATGTTTTGTAAGTGTTTTTGTTCCTCCTCCTCCTTTCCTCCTCCCTGTCTTTTGTCATCCTCATCCCCTGCCTCCGTCCTCCGTTTCGATCTCGGCTTCATGCTCTGCCCCCTTCTCATCACGGACGGCATGCAAATCCCTTGGGCCGTCTTGGGGCCTCTTAGGCCGTCTTGGCGCACTGCTGGGGTGTTCATGTGCAATCTGGGGGGCGTCCTAGGCAGTCTTGGAACGTCGGCAAGCGGAGCAAGCAACAGAAGGAAACTGCTTGAGAACCCCCTGCCCCAATGACTGACACCGACAAGCATGTTCCGGGAAGGGCTCGCTCTGGGAACGTGCTGGTTGCGGCCGTGCTCTTGGAGGGATTGGTGGTCTAGTGCGGTTTGCAAATCTTTCTTTGTAGTGTAAACGGTTTGCGTAGCCCTCCCCCGTAGTTTAGCAAGGGCTGGGTAACTCAATGCCAAATGGCTAGGCCCATGAGTTGGCGAAGTCTGACCTAAATGGTTAGCGCCCCCTGTGCACCTTTACCTAACACCTTACGGTTCGCTGGAGGCCCTCCCGCAAAAATCCCAAATCATCATTCCCATATCTTGAAATTCTAACTTCGTCGAGCGGGAACGGTGGCTGGGATGCGCGGCCTTTGCAAATGGACGTAGGCGACACATGAAGAAACGGCTGGATTTATCAGCGCCCCCCATCCTTCGCCCCCTCCCCCCCCCTCCTCCGCCCCCTCGCATGAGACGAAATCGAGGGAAGGTCAGAATGGGGAGAATGGCGGGAAAGGAGAGGGGAAACAAACTGGGGCAAGAAACTCAACCTGACCGTCTGCAAAGCATTGATCTCCGTCAGGCCCCGAAGCGGAAGGTGTCCAAGCTAGTCCCCTACAACACTCTGCGTAGCGTTGCCCCTTGTTCCCCATCGTCCCCCCTTTACGGGATCCACGCGCAGTGCATGTTTCTCCGCGGGTGTAGCCCGCCTTCGAAGAACATGCAGAGGCAGGAAAGAGAAGATTAGAAGGGAGGAGGACATATTTATACAATAAAGGAGGGAGTACATGTACCACGTGTGCACTGTCCTGAAGTTGCTGTGGACATCATTCAAGCATGCGCGCGTAGCCCGCCTTCGATGCCATCGGCCCCGTCCGAGAGCGAACCATGAAGGACACAGGCTTATGCAGGTGATGGCGCACGTAGCACTGTCGCAGTGTCAGGCCCCTCCGAATGGACCAGCACGTCCAGGAAGGGACTGCCCAGGGAAAAAGCACGGGCGCGAGGCTGTCTTCCAGACGCTGTGCGGCTGGAACTGTTCCACGAGGCTACAGGGCTGGATGGCGGCATCGGGTTGCCCATGGCACTCTGCGAAACATACGACCTGCGCCATGTAGAAACCGGTCGCGCAACGAATGGCCACGACATTGTTTGGAGCAGCAGGGTCCCACTTCGAAAACCGAACCTTGAAAGACACCATATACTCACCAAGACCGAAATGTCCGACTAGTGCTGCCATCCTGCGCGCTTAGACTTTTCCCCCAGTCGTGGAAACTTCTGGCAGCGGTCTCACGAACAATCTTGCTAGTATCTGCCTGCTGGTCCTCGCTATAATTTAGGGCGAACTTGCGTTTTCGTTCGAGTGTTCTGGTGTTGGGGCTCCAGCCCAGCGCCGGCGTGGTCTGGGCGTTGTGCAAAACACAATCGAATTGTCATATCATCGGGTGTTCCTCGAAAGCTCGCTTAAAACGTCTGATGAGCGCCAGTAGCAATTTTTCATTTACCGTTTCGACAGGCACCGACAGTTTTGGGCAGTGCCAAAGTAAACCAATCACCTCGGACACCGAAAGCATAAGGTCACGAATCGCTCAATCATGAAACTTCGTTAAAAAGTTGGTCAAGGTTCAAGTGCGTGGATCGTGCTTCTTGACACGAACATTTCCACGACTCCGCGGCCAGAAAAAACTCCAAACGTTTCAAACTGAACATCTCAATGCCCGTATCTGACCGACTAAACACTTGGACTTGCGATGTATGTTGTTTCACAATGTCGTAAATGATGTCTGTGGCCTTTTTACAAAGAACTGTACATCTCTCTGGAAGACCGGTACGTTGTCACTTGAAATAGACCTTGCAACCAATTGTGACCCCAGTCAAAAAATTGTGATCAAGTGGATGTATCACGTCTTTGAGGCGAGGTTGCAAAAGTAAGTTGTAAGGACTGTGCGACCATCCAAACATTGTCTCTCTCTCTCTCTCTCTCCGCCTTCAACGTTGCTCCAGGGGCTTGCGTCAAATATTATGTATCGTCTGTTCGAGGATGGGCTGTGCCGACGGGGTGCAATTTTCGAGGGAACTCACCTTAGGGAATGGATTACACGTGTTGTGTTCCTGCAGTTCGTCGTTTCCCATCCAACACTTGCTGACAACATTCAAACACTGACAGCAACATTGCACCCTGAGCGAACCTCTGTATTGCGCTGAATTAGATGCAAGGATGACTCGCCCCCGAGCGCGCAACCACTTTTCGCAGTCCGCTTGAACGGCCCCCTCATGGTAGATGCAGCGGCCACACTTGAGCTTGAGGATTCCACCGATCACTTATGATGCCCCACCTGGCCCCCTCGGAGTACGAGAGAATTGATTATGTTTGGAAAACGGGTCCCACGTACTACCACGATGCTTCTGCACTGCGCGAGTGAATCATCGAAGGCGACGTCGACCGCCTGCGCGTCCTGCATGCTTGATTCCGCACGCTGCGGTTTTGCGCGGCCGAACTCGCCGTGAGCATCTCGGCGCCCTGCAGTGGAGGCCAGTCCACAAGAAACCTTCCACGAGAAACCAAACCCTGAGACCCCATGACGTCCATGGATGTTTGGTGTGGGAGCGCCGCGCCTTCCATAGCAAAACCATCGAGACCCAAGACACCCAGGGCACCCCGGAGGCAAGCATGGTGCTCCTTGGCATGGGTCTCCACTGTACGACAAGCGCCTTGCACACCACCACCGCTGGCCACCACCGCTCCTAAAGTCACCATTCAGACGCACCCCTGGGGAGTTCGCACCTCTCGTATTGCTCAAGCTCTTGAGTACAGTGGAGGACAGTTCACAAGAAACTTTCCACAAGAAACCCAACCCTGAGACCCCAGGACGTCCATTGATCTTTGGTGTGGAAACGTCACGCTTCCCACAGCAAAAGCATCGAAACCCAAGAAAGTAAGGGCACCCTGAGGACAAGCAGCGTGTTTCTTGGCATGGGCCTCCACTGTAGCGCCACCGTTCTGAGACTCTCGCCGAACGCCTGCTGCTGGTAGCGGTCTCGACTCTCTCGGACCCACAGATTTGGACGCCCGACATGGGTACCGAAACTTTGGGCGCGATGCCCAACAACAAATGCTGTCCCAAACCAACAGCGGCCGCTGTTGGGCAGGCGGCCTTCTGTCTCGAATGGACACAGGCCGCGGCGACACCGACAACGAGTCCTCTTCAGAATGAACAGGAACTGCTGTTGGGCATTGTACCCATTCTTTCCGTACCCATTTCGGGCGTCCAGAACAGAGGCAACGAGAGAGCAGCGGAACCGGTTGTCTGCCCCCCCCCATCCTCCGTCCTGTGCCGCAGCCGAGTGCGGCATCCCCCTGCCCGCTTCGCGGGGCTGCTTTGGGGGCTCGCCGCCTGCTTGCGGTCCGACTGGACCAGGTTGTCGATGATCCTCGCCGCAACAGTATAGGGGGGAAAGATCGTTCCTCCCCACCTTTCCCGTCTTCTCTTCGGCCTCCTCCCTCGCTCTCTCGTCCTCACACCGCGTGAGGAGTACGGGGCGAATGCGGAAGACGAGGAAGGTTGATCAGGGTAACGACGCGGAAGGTGACTAGAGAGAGGACGACGGAGGGGACTAGGAGGGGGAGGATGAGGGAGCGGAATAGGAATGTGGATGAGGAAGAAGAGGAAGGGAAGCAGAAGGAGAGAGAAAGGACGATTGGAAGAGGGATGAGGGCAGCGCCAAAAACGGTCGAGCCTCGTCGCATAACGTCGATTGCGTTTCAAGTACATGTGTCCACATTCGCAATTCGCGGCCCCTCAATGTGAGAAAGAAACGCTTGCCAACTGCCGCGTCGGACTGTGTCCGGCCCAACTGGGAAACGCGATTGTGGAAAACGTGATCGGCTGGGGAAGCCCCACGGGAACGAACGCGAGGAGTGGCCCAGGGTAGTGCAGTGCAGTCCAGGAGTTGGCATGGGACAGCATTCACACCCAAAAGCTGGCAGATTGCCCATGACTCGTGGATTGACGGAATTCCAGCTCAATCTGGGCGGGACCTGACTTCGACAGCAGGAGAAGAAGGGCAGCAGAGTGGTGAGTTGGAGAGGGCACCAGGACAGACGAATGAGAGGGGGGAGAGGAGGGGAGGAAAAGCTAGGTGCGCTCGCGCCATATCTGACATCCTACCCCTCCCACCCAACCCTTTCCATTGCGCCGCCGACGCGTCTCATAGCGGATAACGGACCTGGAATTCCTAAGATGACCCGTCGTGTTATGCGCACTAGGAAAAAAAGGGAGCTGCGTACATTGGAGGAGGAGGGGGCCGATGCCCAGGAGCCTGGCCAGGAGGAAAAGGTGAAGGATGAGGAGCAGGACGACCATGGGGAAGGCGGGGGAGGGGAAACGAGGGAGACGACAACGATGAGGCGACAACGGCCGGGAAATCCGGAAGAGCGTCGGCTGCACGCGGGAGTGACCCTGGGCAAGAGTAGCCTCTGGTGCGCGGCCGGAGGGGGCCGCAGAGGGGGCCCGCATCCAAGCGCGCAGGCCGGTGCCGGGGGAACCCCTGGTTGCCTGCACCACAAGTCGGCGGCGAGCTCGGGGGCGGGCCTTCTCGGAGGGCTCGGAAGGCCTCGGGTCTCTGCCTGGATTTCTGAGCCCTCCTCGAGGACGCAGACATAGACTCTATGTCTGCGTCCTCAAGGCCTCTAAGAGGCCTCTAAGAGGCCTCTGAGAGGCCTCTAAGAGGCCTTCCAGATGGGGTGCGAACAGATGGGGTCGGAGGATCACGCCGCATCGCCAATACATCGGCGATGTATCGGCGATGCACCGACGATGCATCGTCGACGTCGGCGATACATCGGCGATGTCGACGTGAAGCAAATCGGGCTCCACATCCAGCCGCCCCTGCGATGTATCGACGATGCGACGCGATCCTCCGACCCCATCTACTCGGACCCATCTAGGAGGCCTAGAATAATACTTCTCAAAAGGCGCGAGGTCTTCCGAAAAGTTCCGCATCCTTCTGAGAAGCTTCGGTGGCAACTGGTGGGAGCATCCCATACCATCTCGTCGGCTCTTGCGAATCGACGCTAGTCGACGCTAAATCGACGCTACTCGCTGCTAAATCGACGCTAGTCGACGCTAAATCGGCGCTATCTCATCCACTTCCAGACGCCAATCGACGCAAAAGACAAAATTAAGAGAGTGTATACCAAGCTCCCATGATTTGCTACCGAGTGAGAAGCTCTTCTCCCGCTGACTTCCCCCCCAGTCTCGCCGACGGAGGGGGTGCCGGAGGAGCTGCCGGTCCTCGGCGGCCACCCCCCCCGCCCTCAGATGGGAGGCGACCTCCGGGAGGTCTTCGTCGAAAGAATGTGGATTACCATTGGGGTACTTTGGGACAGCTAGGCCTCATTGGGGTGCTGCCATGTCGGATAAGGTCGCGGAATAAGCGGGGTCAAGCGGGATCAGCCGGGATTCAGCCGGACTTCGGACCAGGAGTGGCATCCGAGCTGAAGCTCGAAAGGATGGGGAGCGTTTCTGTTTTAGCCCGTAGTGGGGATCGACGTTTTCAGTTTCGGTGCAAGTTTTTTCAGTTTGGAAATTCTTGTTCGTTCCCTTCCACTTCCCCCCAGACCCCAGACGAGCCGCCGACAAGTGGGCGAGGAACAGAAACGGCTCTTACGCCGCAACTTACGCGGGCCGCCAGCGCGGTACGCCACGTTGGAAGCGAGGACGCCGACATTCGCGCGTAAGCCGCCCGCGCAATCTCGAGTATAGTGGAGGCCAATCCACAAGAAACCTGCCACAAGAAACCCAACCCTGAGACCCCAGGACGTCCATGGATCTCTGGTGTGGGAACGTCACGCTTCCCACAGCAAGACCATCGACACCCAAGAAACCCAGGGCAACCTGGAGGCAAGCAGGGTGCCACTTGGCATCGGCCCCCACTGTAATCGAACCCGTTTTCTTGCTCGGGGGCGGCCAAGAGGGGGGCGTCCAAGAGGGGGGGGCGCAAAGCATGGCCGGTGGCATATGCGCGGCCCTTGGGGGGGGGCCAGGGACGTAATGAAATAAGAAGCGGCGCCATGAAATCTGGGGAAATATCAAGGCCGCCGCCATGATATCCACCCCCCCTAATCATCACCCCCCTCTTTGCCGCCCCCCGACTTGCGTCGCTCTGGGTGCCACTCTGGCGAAAGGTCGCCCATCACGCGCAGCCCCCGGGAGAGGCGCAGCGCGCTCGAGAGGCGCGGCGCTCTTCAGGCACTTCTGCATGCACTCCAGGACCTGCGCGGGCCTCCCCCTTCGGGCCCCGCCCGGCCCGCTTCCCCGGACGACGACGACGACGACGACGACGACGACGACGACGACGACGACGACGACAACAGCAACGATGACGACAACGACAACAACAATAATCTTAAAACTGTTCGATCCCATCAGCTCGCGTGCCAATCAGCACGTAGATCCCCAAGCCTTGGTACCCGCCCTCTTCGTCTTCGATCGTACCCCCAAAGCTGCTTTGCCTGCCACGTGTACTTAGTGCAGCCCGTAAGGCTGGGGAAGAGAGGACGGGTGGAAGGGGGAGTGAGAAGGATGCAACACGAGAAACAATAGCCGGAGTGGAGCTCGGACCAGAGAACACGTGGCAGAACCAGACGGTTCGATCGGGCGGGCAGATCCCCCTAGCGGGCGGGTCGGGAAGGTGGGCCCAGGCGGCCAGGTCGAGCAGGCGGGTTGCTGAAGCGTGGGTACTGCATGAATTGCGAGGACGCCTCAAGCGATAGAGCGATTCCCAGGTAGATCGTGAGAGCAAGGCGAGAGCGCGATTCCTGAGTGTCAAGGTCGCGGCGTTTGAATACATTGCGAGGGAGTCCAACGGGAGAGCGCGATTCCTACACATTGTGAGGAAGTCCCGCGCGAGAGCGCGATCTTGGAATAAGCTGTGAGGATGTATCAAGAGGGAGCCGTTGTTGTTGTTGTTGTTGTTGTTGTTGTCGTTGGTGTTGTTGAAATTCGGGTGCCAGGGGCACAATCGGAGCACGAAGGCGTTACCTCATAAGAAGACGAGGTGCGAGCCCCGACGGTTACACTTCAATTGGAAACGCACAATGTGCAACGGTGAGAGGGGATCAGCAATAATTGTTCAAGCGTGCGGATTCACCACAACTACAACACCAACAACAACAGCAACACTAACAACATCAACACCACCAACATCAACAACACCAACAATGCAAACAACACCATCACCATCACCAACAACATCAACAACAACAATCATTTTGAAACTGCTCGGTCTTATCTGTTCGCGTGCAGTTTGATACGTGTATCCCAAAGCCTCGATACCACCCCTCTTCGTCTTCGATCGTACCCCCTGGGGCTGTATGTGTCTTACCTGCAACGTGTATTTCGTGCAGCCCCTGAGGCAGGGGACGAAGGGACAGATGGCAGGAAGGGACAAGGGGGGGGAGGAGGATGGAGCACGACAGACAGTAGCAGGAGAGAGGGCTAGGAACAGAAAACACGTGGCAAAACCAGACGGGCAGATCGGGTCGGCAGACCCTAGCGGGCGGGTCGGGAAGGTGGGCCCAGGCGGCCAGGTCGAGCAGGCGCGTTGCTCAAGCGTGCGTCCTGCATGAATTGCGAGGACGCCTCAAGCGATAGCGCGATTCCTGAGTGTCGAGGGCGCGGCGTTTGAATCAATTGCAAGGAAGTTCAAGACGCGAGCGCGATTCCTGCCTAAATTGTGAGAGAAGTCTCGCGATAGAGCGCGATGCTGGAATATTTTGTGAGGAAATATCAAGCGGGAGCCATTGATTTCTCACTTCTGGAGAATAGTTATTGCTGATCCCCCTGATAGGTGCACATTGTATTTTTCAATTGAAGTGCCACTCCTGGGGCTGGCCTTCGTTTCGTTGATTATGGGAAGTATTGAGCGTCAAACGGCGCCCCTGGCCCCCGAGTTACAACAACAACGACTCCCGCCTGTTACTTCCTCACAATCGCTGGAGAAATCAGGCGTTCGCTTGAGACTTCCTTGCTAGTTACGCAGGAATCGCGCCCCCTCCTGAGACGCCCTTAAACTTTCTTCAGATGCCGCTCCTCGACACTCAAGAATCGCGCTCTCGCCTTGGACTTCCTCATGAATTACCTGGGAGTCGCGCTCCCGCGAAATACTTCCTGGGGGCCCAAGCAAGATTCACTCTTCAACGACCCATTCGCTCGACCCGCCCGTCGCGGCCTGCCCGCTCGACCAACCCGTTAGGGACTGCAGTTCCGCTCGCTGCCCTTCGCCCGCCGGCGACGTCCCTCGTTGCCCGTACTGGTTTCGCGGTCGCCTTCGCTCGCTGCCCTTCTTGGCCCCTTTCCTGCCCTCAGTGGCCCCGTGGCTGCCCATCTGTGGCCCCACATGGTATGCCCTTCGAGGCCCACGCTGTTGCCCCCTCTGGCCCCTTATGTCTACCCTTCGTGGCTCCCGCTCGCTCGCGCCCTTCGTGGCCCCATTGCTGCCCTTCGTGGCCCCGCTGTCGCCCTTTGTGGCTCCCTCGCTGCCCTTCCTGGCCCCGTTGCTATCCTCAGTGGCCCCGTCGCCCGCACTATATGCCCTTTGTGGCCCCCGCTCGCTCGCGCCCTGCGTGGCCCCCCTTGCTGCCCTTCGTGGCCCCTATCATTGCCCTTCGTGGCCCCACTGTTGCCCTTTGTGGCCCCGTATACGTATGCTCTTCGTGCTCCCCGCTCGCTCGCTATCCTCCTCTTTTCCCGTGTCCACTCCTTCCATCGGTCCTCTCTTTCTCTGTCTCAGGGGCTGCACGAAATGCACGTTGCAGGTAAGAACGATATACCCCCAAGGGGGTACGATCGAGGACGATGAGGGCGGGTATCGAGGGCTTGAGATATACGTGTTAGATGGCCCGCGAGCAGATAAGAGCGAACAGTCTTAACATGGCTATTGTTGTTGGTGCTGTTGTTGCTGTTGTTGTAATTCGGGGGCTAGGGGCACAACTTGATCGCACCTCACTTCCCCATGAAAAAAAACACGGTTCGCGCCCTGGAAGGAACAATTTAATGGAAGAAATGCAAATGGTCACCGGAGGGGGGGACTCATCAATACGTATTCCCTAGAAATGAGAATTGAGCAACACCAGCACCAACACCAGCACCAACACGAATCACGGCGACAACGAAAACGACAACGAAAACGACAACCACGACAACAACAACAAGGACGACGACGATGACGACGATCACGAGAAGGCGGGGACGCGAGAAGCATCGAACAAGTTCGCCTCTTGGGGCCCTCTTGTCCTCTTGCTTGAAAACCCATATCGGGTCCCTTCCCCCTCTGGGCTCAGCGGCCAGCGTCGGGCAGCGACAGAGAAGCAAAGGGGGGGTGGGAGGAGTGCGGTCAAGATCGACAGTGATAATAGAAGTCACAAGGATGCCGACCGCCTAGAACGCCCCCAAATAGCTGAGGGAACAGGAAACGTGACAAGCGTCAGAGGGAGGCCCGTGATCCAGAGCGAGTTCCAAAATACGTCATCCCGACCTCGTGCTACGCCGATATCAACCTCGGCATGGCAAACACCCAACAACTGCATTCACCGCACCGTGCTGCAGCCCCGCATGGCACAAGTGGCTCCAACGCGCGAGGGGACAAAGGTTCCCGCACTGTTCAGGGTCCTCCAAGTCCAAGAAACGTCTTCTGCAAACTGGCAACAACGCACAACACAGTATCTCGCATGCATGCCGACACCAATGTACCACAGGCATCGGCAAAAATTAATGATCAGATTTGCAAACCACTGCATGGTGCTGGGTATCAGGCCCAAGTCCGCATTCGTTTCTTCGCTTGCTCTTCCTCCGCCTTATCCTCGTCCTCATCGTCCGTTTCTTCGCTCCTTCCTCGCGATAGTCCCCACCTGTCCCCGGAGGCCCAAAGATCACCGAGTACTAAAATTATACGAAAAAACCCGATCCTCATCGTCGCCTTCCTCCCGAAAGGCAGCGCCGATGGCCTTCTGCCCGTCGCGACGCGCATCGCACCTCGGAGGGCGCCACTCGGGAGGAATGGAGCCGTGGCACAAAGAAGGAACATGATTTGCACACGAAAGACGATCGAAGGTCGAATTTGGATATGCTCAAACATTATGGTGCGTATTCGAAATGTGGAAACATTTGGACTCTTCCGTGTGTCGAGGGAGGGGACAGAGATTCCCATTTTGACAAGGAACCGGCTTCCATCTGTGTAGCAGTTGCACTTTTCACATGTGAGGTAGTGCTTGCTGGAGAAATGTAAGGCGAGAGTCCACGTGTGAAAACAAACAAGCTTCCATGCTTGAAACCGTTGCGCACGTCTACGCGCGTGGTCATATTTTGCATTGGCGTCTCCAACGGGAACTATATCATGAAAACGGCACGACCCTCCATCCGTGCAAACTGCTGGAGCCCTTTACGGTCTAAGACGAATGTGCGCGGCGCGAAGGCGAGAGCCATGTCTTCAAAACCGTTGACCCTCCACCCGTGCAAGATTTCGAGATTTTGGAGACGAATTCGAGAATCGCTGATGTGAGAGAACCGCATTTTGAAAACCACAAGACCTCCATCCGTGCAGCTGCTGTATAGGCCTCCCAAAAAAGGTCCGAATAGATGGGGTCGGAAGATCGCGCCGTGTCGCTAATGCAACGGTGATGTATACGTGATGCATCTGCTACGTCGGCGATGCATCACCGGCGTCGGTGGGGACAAAATCTGGCTCCACATCGAGCCGCATCACCGGTGCATCGGCAATGCGGCGCGATGACAATGAATAACAACTCTGTAAGGACGTCTCAAGCGAAACGCCCGTCCAGGCCTGCGGGCACGTCTGGTGGTGCGACATGGAGGAGCTCTTTAGGACCGTGTGCGACATGTTTTTTTTCATCAGAGCTAGACCCGAAGCCTGTACAGACGAAGCGAATCCAAGAACATGCACGCGCCACGAGAAACGACGCGTCGGTTCAACCATCGGCTCGTGCGAGGGACAGGGTGACCAACATTTCCGTATCCGCGGCCTCGCGGGCCGGGCCCCTGGGCCGCGACCTCGCGGATACGAGGGCTCCTCGCGGATGCTCCGCTCGGAACGCATCCGCGCGACCGCGTATCCGCTGGGTCGCGCCCCAAAATCCAGACCGCGGGCGCGCATTCGGATAGGTTCGTCCGTCGTGAAATAAGGAAGAAGGATGGAGACGCAAGGCGCATTGTTGCTCTCCGTGCTATCCTAAGACGAAGCTCAGACGAAGATGCATTCGGGCGAGGTTGAATCGAGAATATCTGAGACCCGGCGGCTCTGGATATATATGTGTGTATATATATATATCGGAGGTGAAGGGGGGAGATCGAAGTGGAACGGAGAGCTCCCCTACCGGGAAATCGATTTCGGTTTCGTGTTCGTGCGTGCCGTGCGGGCGAGGCGAAGCTGCGTGGGCGGGCGAGAGAAAGTCTCCTGTGGCTGAGGCGCGGCCGGACCAAATGATTCCCTTCCGGGCGGCCGGGGCCCCGCGGTGTCCCGCCGGTGTCCCGCTGGTGTCCCGTGTGGCTGAGGCGCGGCCGGACCAAATGTCTCCCTTCCGGGCGGCCGGGGGCCCGCGGTGTCCCGCCGGTGCCCCGTCGGTGTCCCGATTATGGTGATGATATGATGATGATGATGATGATGGTGGTGATGATGACGATGTTGATGTTTTGTTTTGATGATCGATAGTGAGATCGGTGGTGATATCGATTGTTGTGAGATCGAATGCCAGATCGCTTGTGAGATCGATTGTGAGATCGATTGTGATACCGAATGTGAGATCGATAATGAGATCGATAGTGAGATCGGTTGTGAGACCGAATGGGATATCGATTGTGAGATCGATTGTGGTATCGATAGTGAGATCGATAGTGAGACCGAATGTGAGATCGATTGTGGAATCTGTTGTGAGATCGATAGTCAGATCGATTGTGAGATCGATCGATTGAGTTAGTAGTGAGATCGCTATCGGTAATGAGATCGGTCGTGATTTCGATAGTGAGGTCGATGATGAGACCGAATGTGAGATCGATTGTGAGTTCGGTTGTGATATCGATAGCGAGATCGATAGTGAGATCGATAATGAAATCGAAAGTGAGTTCGATAGAGAGATCGATAGTGAGGCCGATTGCGAGATCGATTGTGAGATCGATTGTTGTATCGATAGTGATATCGACAGTGAGACCGAATGTGAGATCGGTAATGAGATCGATGGTGAGTTTGATAATGAAATCGATAGTCAGAACGAATGCGAGATCGATTGTGATATCGATTGTGAGATCAATAGCGAGACCGAATGTGAGATCGATTGTGGGATCGATTGTGAGATTTATTGTGAGATCGATAGTCAGATCGATTGTGAAATGTATCGATTGGGATCGATTGTGAGATCGGTAGTGAGTTCGATAGTGAGATCAGTCGAGTGCGACGTTGGTCCCTCCCCCCCCTCACCTCCTTATCACCCGAAGGGTGGTCTATGCGGTATATAGAAATCGGGCGTCGGGGCTTTTTCAGGGCGTGAGCGTTTTCTTGATAATGGCGGTTCGACATTGGGCGGAGGGGGGGGAGTCTGGCTCTGGACCTTTGCTTAGTGCGACTGTGTGCGACGATTCGTCTTATGGGGGACCAGGAGTGCCCGTGGCTCAAAGTGCCCCCCGCTTTTCGCTCCATTTTGGAGCCCCTGGGGCCCTCTGGGCCTCGTGAGGGGCGCTCTGGAAGCCGTTTGGGGTACCCTCAGAGTCCTGGTGGCACCTTGGCCCAGGGGCACTTCTAGCAACACCCGAGCAACATTTCCTGGCCGGACGCCTACAACGGGCTGGCTGCACGCAAGGGCGAACGTGGGTACGGAATTCGGGGGACGCGGGGGGACCAAACGCCAGCGCGCAAAACCCTGAAATATCCGACGTGTCGAAAAAATTGAACCGTCGTGAGCAATATCACTACCGGCGCCCCAGACCCCATTTTCTTTTATCATTTTTGGAACCGCGTCGATCTGTGAGGGTCCCGGGCCCCGAATCCGTGCGAAACCGCTCGGCTCGAAAAAATTGAGTCGCCACCATATCAGGGGATGCTATTACCGCATCGCGTTCGGCGATCGGGGGGGGCCCAAATGTGGGGAAACCCAACAGTACCGACACGGCCACTCCCAGGGCCTCTCCTGGGGCGCTCTGACCAGGATGTCGAAGCGAATCCAGCGGTGGCGACGACGGCCTCCCAGGAGGCTCCAGACAGGTGAGAAAGAAGGGAGGGTAGCGGTATGGTTGCCTGTTCCTCCTCCGACAGTGGGCCCGCAGCACAGGTCACTTTGGCGAAGAGCCACTCTCACGTGCAGTCGGAAGGGGAGCGGGGCCCCTCCTCTTCCCCCTCCTCCTCCCCCCCTCCTCCTCCCCCTCCGCCTCCTCCTCCTCCTCCTCCTCCTCCTCCTCTCCCCTCCTCCTCCTCTCCTCCCCCCCTCCCCCTCCCCCTCCCCCTCCCCCTCCTCCCCCCCCTCCTCCTCGAGGCCCATCGTCGAAGTCGAAAATGTGGGCTGGCTCCTCATCCTGGTCGGACACCTGCGCGTCGAAGGCCGCCGTGCTCCTCTCTCGGCTTCGGCGGGTTCTTGCATTCCCATCGACCAGGTGGCCCGCCTGGTTGCACTGGTGACAACGGATACGACGCTTCACCTCCTCGATCTTCTGCTTCGCCTTCCTCTGGTACTCGGGATCGCCCTTGCCACGGCCTCCGGCCATAGGCGGCGTCACCCCACGAGATCCCCGGGACGTCTTGCGATCTCGAACCACTCGACGGGTCTCCTGCCATGATCCGCGCCCTACTGCTCCAGCCTGCCTCGCCGCCAGCACCGCGCAGGCCGCGTCCTCCTCGATGGCGTCCTCCTCGGGGATGTCTCCACCGTCGTCCGAGCCGCCCTCCAACACGTGCAGGGCGCGTGCGATCGGGTCGTCCACGTCCTCCAGATACTTCCCCTCGTCCACGTGGTAGGCCCTGGCTGGACGGCTCTGTCCTGCTCCGTCGCCCTGGTCGCCCTTGGTGGCCTTCTCAAGCGAGCTGTCGTCGCGAAGACCCTTCGTAGGCTAGCGAGCCCGTCGTCTGGAGTATCACCGCCATGCGCTCCACGTGGTCCAGCTTCGCCTGCCGCTGCAAGAGGTAGCCCTGGACGTCGTCCAGCGTGACCTGCAGATTGCGGTGGCGATCGAACGCCTTCTTGATCTTCATGGAATGCTGCTGCAGCGTCTCACCCTTCTTGCGCTCCGTGCCGAAGCAGGTTTGCTTGAACCCCGTATATTTCTCATACACGTTCTTGAGGAGGATCTCCGCTTCGAGGGCCTTCACTATGTTCCCAACGCCGTCCTCACCCTCGAGCTCCTCTGGGTCCAGGCCTTCCACGATACTCTGGATCTGGTCGTCTCCCGTTTCCATGATGCTCCAGTACGCGTGCAAGCCACGCTGGTTGGCTGGAGCACCTGTCGCGACCTTGGACCAGATCCTCAGGCGGCGGACGTATCGCCGCAGCTCCTCGATCGTAGAGTCCTTGATCGTGGGCGGGGGCACGTAGCGTCCGCGCTCTGTGCTCCCTCCCACTGCGGCGACCTCTCCATCGGCCGCCTCGCCTTCCTCGTCACCCATGGTGTCGACTCTAAGCCCGACTACCAAGGGGAAGGTCTCCTCTCCTGATCTCGTCTCGGTCCGTGAACTCGCTCACACTCTTGGAGCGCGCTGGCGCTCTGCGTGGAGCTGGCGCCAGCTCCGATACCACCAAGTCTGGTGGGCACGCGGAGGAGCGGCAGCTTCTCAGCACAAGATGTGTTCAGTACCAGCGTGCACACCACTTCCTGATGCATCAAAAGGGTCGGAGCCCCTGTCTGAACCAAAATGGTTATGGAGAGGCTTCGGCATGAGGTGTCTGGCATCCCCTGATTACACTAGAACAACCATGGAGCTTCTTGCACAAACGACAGAAAGAAGCTGCAAACTACTGCGAGTTCCAGCCTGGCCTCAATGGATACTTCTCTATGGCGCCCAAAAGGTCCCCTGCCGATACTGCCTGGAGGCACATCGTACTCTCCGAGCTCGCTGGGCTGTCAGGAAGTTTCTCGAGGTTTCTCTCTGCAGGTCCTGCAGGATACCAAACAGTTCTATGAACATGTATCATATGATTTGTGGTCAAGGCTGTTCAATTGTGCCAACACCCTCATCACCTCATCGTTCTGGCATCTCGGCTTGCCAGTGGCCCAAGCACCTGCTGCTGGATGGATACATGGACCAAGCTCTTTTCCCGAGGCGGGGCATCGTTGCTGGTTCCACGCTGGCCACGTACGAAGCCAACATTTTCCGTAAGCTGTCTGTGGACGGTTTCGCGGAGAGCATGCCCGGCATAGCCGCACTCTCCCTTCGCGTGGATGACCTCGCCCTCATGCAGTGGGGGGGCCAGATGTTTGGCGTCGTGAATGACCTTAAGGAGATAGCAGTCACAGTCCACAGCTTCCTCACCAAGGAACTCCAGCTCCCCATGGCTTGAAAGAAGCTTGGTTTGGCGGCCTCATGTGGGCCCCTTCTCCAGGTTGCGTATCAAACCCTTGGACACCTCGAAAAACCTCGACCCCCCGACGGAGCTGTGACCTGTCTCGGAATCAATTACCTTGGAGGCAGACACAAACTCCGACCTGGAACTAATCGCAACAAAAGCAATACATAAGAAGGACATGCAAAGAACAACAGGATTCGCATGAAACGTACGAAGTTGAAAAAAGGACATCGCAACAGGCTGTTCCAGACTAACCTCCAGCCCACCCTCACCTACGAGGGAGGAGGGAGGAGGAGGATGAGGAGGAGGAGGAAGGGATGAGGGGGAGGAGGAAGAGGAGGAGGAGGAGGAGGAGGAGGAGGAGGAGGAGGAGGAGGGAGGAGGGAGGAGGGAGGAGGGAAAAGGAGGGAGAAGGAGGAGGAGGAGGAGGAAGAGGAGGAGAAGGGTAGTTATTCCTCCCGTGCGACGCACGGGGGGGGGGGGGGAAGGCGTAGCCCGCCTCCCGCATCGCTCGGAGGCGAGCGGGGCGACCCTCGCCCGCGGACGTGGGAATGCGAGTGGCGCTCCACAGAACGCTCCGGCCGTTCATTTTTTGCTGCCTGCGGATGGTCGCTGGCGGCGCTCGCTCCGGAGAGAGTGGAGAGATAGAGAGAGAGAGAGAGAGAGGGAGGGAGAGAGATTGGGAACGAGAGAAACAGAGAGAGAGAGAGAGAGAGAAAGAGAGAGAGAGAGAGAGAGGAGAGAGAGATAGCGAGAGAGGGAGAGAAAGAGAGGGAGAGTGAGAGAGAGGCGGAGAGAAAGAGAAAAAAGAGAGAGAAAAAAGAGAAAAGGGAGGGAGGGAGAGAGGGAACGAGCGAGGGAGGGAGAGAGGAAGGGAGGGAGAAGAGGGAGCGAGGAAGGGGAGAGGCCCCGCGGGGACGGCCCTCCCCCCCCCGAAGAGAGGGGTGCCGAGGGACGGCCCTCGGCTTACTAGCAGCCCGTGAGCCGCACCAGAACAAGTGCGAGCACGCCGCCACCGCCCGGCACTGCATGGGCTTCTTGAGCAACCTTCGGGAAACAACCAATTTTGGACGCCCGAAATGGGCACGGAAACAACGGGTACACTGCCCAACAGCGAATGTTGTCCCGAACCAACAGCGGCCGCTGTTGGGCAGGCGGCCTTCTGTCTCAAATGTGCACAGCACAGGCCACGGCGACACCGACTCTCGAGCCTGTTCAGCATTGTACCCATTCTTTGCTGTTGGGCATTTTACCCATTCTTTCCGTACCGATTTCGGGCGTCCAGACCAATGACATGAACTGGCTACCTACCAGAAAACCCCAACCCAACCAGAAGACCCGAACTTCGGGTTGGGGTGGGGGGGGTTACGGGCTTCATGCGTTTCGAAAGTGTTCTCCGACCCCCTCCCCCACTGGAAATGGAGGGCAAATTGGGGCCTTCGGGTTGGGTTGGGGTGGTTTGGTGGGTGGTCGGTGACCAGTGACATGAACATCAAACCTCGGAGGTCCGCGGGGATTCCTCGGATCGGCGCTGGGCCCCCCTGGCTGTGCCTCCGGCGCCACCCCTGGCGCGTTCCGCGCGCCAGGGAGGGGGTTCCAGCGCCGATCCTAGAAATCCGCGCGGACCTCTGGAGCAGATGGCAGTGGGGTGTGACCCCAATGATGGGTGAAGAGAAGGGCCGTGAAGGGGCCCTTTTCTCCACCTCTCATGTCGGTCACCCCCTATTCCCACCCGCTCGAACCTCAGAATCTTATATTTATGCCATTGTTTGCTCCCCGAGACCTGGCCGCGTGCTGGGCGATCTTCGCGGCCACCTGCGCAGCATCACCCTCTAGTGTTGGCCCTTCCCCAAACGGGGTTATGTCCGTCCCATTGCGCCGCTGGTCGTGCCGAATCCACGTCGAACCATCCGCGCCACATCCGTGTCGAATCTGCGTCGGCTCCACGTCGAACCCGCATCAAATAGAAGCACTGACTAGAGCATATATGACAGTCCAGACCCCCCGAAAATCTGCCGACCCTGTCGGCCTGTGAGGGGCTTGTCCGTTCAAGTCGTCGCCTCCGCCGTTGGTTGGTCGTCGTCTCTGTAGTCCCCTTTCCCTGCGCCCCCCTTTCCCTGGGCCCATCGCCGCTCCTCCCCTTTCCCTGGTCCCTCCTCCTCAAGCGCGCCAGCCAAAGCGAAATTGAACAACGTCATACTTGACTCGAAGGGAAGCCCCTTCCCGTTGATCCCTCCCCCGCCGGGAGGGGGGGGTGTTCAAAAGTTAGATACGACTCCCCCCCGGGTGGTCCCGGGGCCAAAAAAAGCCTCAAGACCAAGACGGTCCAAGAGGGCCCCGAAGCGCCGAACAATCTGTCCAAGACTCCTTGACGGCCTCCAGACGGCCCAAAAGCCCTGCAAGACGTCTCAAGAGGCCTCCAGGAGCACCCCCACGAGGGCCCCAAGAGGAAAAATCAGTGATTTCCCATTGGTTGTTCGATGTATTTCGGCGTTCTCGTCTCTTCCGCTTCCCGACGCTCCAAGACGGCCCAAGAGGCCCCCCAGATCGCCCCAGGACGGCCCAAGAGGGCTCCAGGAGGGACCCAAAACGCCCAAGAGGACCCCAGGACGGCCCAAAACGCATCCAAGACTGCCCAAGAGGCCCTCAAGACGGCTCCAAGAGGGTGCCCAGACGAGGCGGACATTTCGAGACCTCGTCCCCGAGAGGCTCCCAGGAGGAACCAAGAGGCCCCTAAGAGGCCCCCAAGGGGCTTCCAAGAGGCCCCCAAAAGGCTTCCAAGAGGTCCCCAAGAGGCTCCCAAGAGGCCCCTGAACTGTCCTCCAGAGGCCCCCGAGAGCGTGTCGAAGAGACCCCCAGAATCCTCCATGAGGACTCTGACCCACGACAGCATCGTCGTCGTCGTCGCCGCTGCCGTTGTCGTCGCTCCCTTTCAGGGTCGGCGGCACCCGTCGTAAGGCCTTCGAAATACAGCGTAAGCCCTTCCTCGCCTCCGTGAGATGGCGCCAACTATTAAACATGTAGTGGACAGAGCTTCCGATCGAAGAACTACATCAAACAACCCTCCATGCCCCCGCGGCCAGCCCCTCCAGCCGACAATGTTTAGTGCACTTGTGTGGGATGCAACGCGTATGTCCCACTGGTCATATTCTTATGGGCCCTGACCAGCACTGCCAGAATTCGCGGACGGTGCTGGGGTGTGGCGTGGGCCTTCTGGATGCCTGGCCCGCCCAGAACGGCCCCCTGATGCCCAAAGCGTCTCCCAAGAAGCCCCCACGACGGCTCCAGATGGCCCCGGGAGTACGGCAGGTTCGTGTCCCGACGACCCCGGCGTTGGTTTCTGACATCGCGTGAATCGTTCAACATTGACCGATAGGCGGCTTTTCGATCGCCCGATCGTCCCATCGAGACCGAATTTGGGCCACTGGCGGCGTTCAACCTTGAACGCCCGCGGCGGGATCGCCGCTGGTCGACACGACGCGAACCTACCGTAAGCCCTCACGGCCCAAGAGGGCGCCAAGATGCCCCCAAAACGGCTCAAGACAGCCTCGGGAGAAGTCCATGGTGGCCCATAAGCGGGCCCGAAGGCTGCTAAAGCTGGCGCCTTGACAGCACAAGGGGTCACCCCGAACAGCCTTTGCCCCCCAAGAGGCCCCAATGGGCTGCCAAGAAACCTATGATCCACGACCTACAGTCGAGACCCATGCCAAGAAACACCGTGCTTGCCTCCAGGGTGCCATGGGTTTCTTGGGTTTCGATGGTCTTGCTATGGCAGGCGTGACGCTCCCGCGCCAAACATCGATGGACGTATTGGGGTCTCAGGGTTGGTTTCTTGTGGGAAGTTTCTTTTTGACTGACCTCCAATGTAGGCACGTTGGCGATATAGGCCGCGAAGCATTTCTGTAGTTTTCGGAGGTGTACTTGGTGTGCCAAGTACGTGGTCTTGGAGCTTCACGAAAGTTCCCTGTGGTCTTCGGCCCAACCCGCCACCCACCCAGATGAAGTACATCCCGTGTTAGATTCCATAGAAGATGGCTCCATAAAGGTGACTCCAGGGGACCTTTTCGCCATTAGGTCGGCCCAAAATGGACTCCAAGAGGCAGAATCTGTCCCCAAGGCGGCCATAGACGCCTCCAAGACGGCTGAAGAAGCCTTCAAGACAACCCAAAAGGGCTCCAAGAGGATCCCCAGGAGCCCCACTTTGAATAAATCATGGTATCCCAATTGATTATCAAGGTGTTTTGCATTTGAAAGTTTCTGACACCCCAATGCGGCCCAAGAGGCCTCCAATAACACATCTCGACACCGCAACGGGTCTCCAAGGCAGCCCGAGAGGGCCCCCAAATGGTCTCAAGACAGCCCAGGAGATCCGAAAGAGGGCCCTAACGGATCCGAAGAGGGCCCCGAGAGGGCCCAGGGAGGCCGTCCAGACGGCTCTCGAGGGCGCCAGGACGGCCCAATAGCGCCCTAAGACAATCCAAGACGGCCCCAAGACGGCCACAGCGGGCCTCAAGCATGCCCAAGAAGCACGACCAAAACAACCCCAAGACGGCCCCACATGACCTCTCCCCGATGTTCCTTACTCGTTTCCCCAACGGCTGGGGGAACACGACATCTACTGGCGTGGCCGCATTTTCGCCCGGAATTTCGCGACACAGGCGTTCTGTAAAGGCATGGGACGGCGGTGACTCGTCGTAGGTTCGCCGAAACGGAGACTTAGGGTGGCTTCCGAAACGACCATTGAGGGACCCCAGGAGGGCTCCACGAGCTCTGCGAATGTGTATCCCAAGAGGGCCCCGAGACAGCTCAACATCTGCCCAACACAGTTTCATGATGCTCCCAAGACCCCTCCATATGGCACCACGATGGTTATGCGAAACATTTGTTGGCAAGCTTGCGCTATGCTGGCAGCCTGGCCCGTTGATATAGCAAGCCATTTGAACGTCACATTGCCACATATCGGGAATCCTGACATGAGACAGATCGACTGCGAAGTCAAGGCACTACAGTCCTTATCTGTATTTGGAGCACGTCTACAGCAGGACATAAGGTCTACGAAGTACTGTTATGCATGTGTGCTCTTTGTGAGGTTGAATATGAGTCTCAAGCGCGTTCGCCAACAAACTGATGGGAGCACACGTGCGGGAAACTGGCAGCGTCGCTGTGTACACAGCATGAATACTTGAATAGCTCGTGACGGATGAGAAAGATCAACGGTCCTAAGCAACGCCATGACAAGTTCTGAGATATAGCAGCACATCGAGGAAAGACACTTCGCTGGGCGAAGGACCCAACCATGTGCAATTGTGAGTAACGCAGTTGTGAATATTGTCTTCGGTGGAGCCCCCCAGGGGGTCACGAAGCGTGTGAAGAATGTACCGAAATGGGCGCGGTGAGCGCATGCGAACGCAAACAACTGGGGTCTTCGGTCGAGTTCCCTGTGGGGCCGCGGCGCGTGTGAGGGGTATGCCGACATGGTTGGGGCGGACGCATGGGAACACTGTCACTGGAGCCCTCGGTAGCGCTCCCTTTGGGGCCACGAAACGTTTTAGTGGTGAGCCGGAAATTATTGGAGCGGACGCCTGCGAACGCAAACACTGGGGCCTTTGGTGGCGCTCCCCATGGGGCCACGAAACGTATGAGGGGTGTGCCGAATTAGGCGGGACGGGCGCATGCGACCACCGCCACTAGGGCCTTCGGTGGAACTCCCTATCGGGCCACGAAACGTGTGAAGGATGTGCCGGCATGGGTGCGGCGGACGCATGCGAACGGAACCACTGGTGCCTTCTGTGGAGCTCCCCATGGGGCCACGTAGCGTGTGAGGAGTGTGCCGACATGGGTCCAGCTGGCGTATGCGACCGCAGCCAATGGGGCCTTCGGAGAAGCTGGCTATTGGACCACGAAACGTGTGAGGAGTGTGCCGAGATTGATGCGGCGGGCGCACGCGATCTCAACCTACGGGGCCTTTGGTGGAGACCGCGATAGGGCCACGAAACGTGTGAGGGGTGTGCCGACATGTGTGCGGCGGGCGCGTGCGAACACAGCCTCTTGGGCCTTCGGTGGAGCTCCCTATGTGGCCACAAACGTGTGTGAGGTGTGCCAAATGTGCGCGGCGGACCCATGCGAACACCGCCACTGGGGCCTTCCACGGAGCTCTCTGTGGGGCCACGAAACGTTTGATGGGTGTGCCGGCATAGGTGCGGCGGGCGCATGCGAACGCAGACACTGGGACCTTCGATGGAGCTCCATATGGGGCCATGGAACGCGTGAGGGGTGTGCCGAAATGGGCGCAGCGGGCGCAAGCGAACGCAGCCACTGGGGCCTTCCACGGAGCTCCCTATCGGGCCACGAAACGTGTGAGGGGTGTGCTGAAATGGGTGCGGCGGGCGCGTTCACTGGAGCCACTGGGGCCTTCGGCGGAAATGGGCCGAAATCGGTGCGGCGGGCGCATGCGAAAGCAGCCACTGGGGTCTTCGGTGGAGCTCCCTATGGGGCCACAGAACGTGTGAGGGGTGTGCCGGTATGGGTGGGGCGGGTGCATGCGACCGCAGCTACTGGGGCCTTCGGTGGAGCTCCCTATGGGGCGACGGAACGTGTGAGGCGTGTGCCGACATGACATGAATGCGGCGGGCGCATGCGAACGCAGCCTCTGGGGCCTTCGGTGGAGCTCCCGATAGGGCCACGAAACGTGTGAGGGGTGTGCCGAAATGGGCGCGGCGGGCGCATGCAAACGCAACCACTTGGGCCTTCGGCTGAGCTCCCTACGGGCCACCGAAACGTGTGAGGGGCGTTCCGAAACGGTTGACTGGTGCGGAGGGCAGAGGCACGGATGGGGAGGAGGGAGGAGGGGTGGACATGAGGAGAGGAGAGGAGAGGAGAGGAGAGGATAGGAGGGACGCATGTCGCTGTCTGTTCAGAACGAGAACCAAACACCACAGGATGGTTGGGAATGACACACACAGAAGCATGTCATCTGACATTCTCAATCAAGAAGGCGAAGCCCGTGATCTGATATGTTCGCATACATGATGAACATCTTGTGGACGTAGAACAGGTTGGTAGACAGATGACAAACCATCTGTAGTAATCAGCTAAGACTGGTGACGACGTAGACCGCTCGACGAATGGTTTCCGTACATGCTCGCACGTGCAAGCGACGCCTCACAAGACAACCGACAAAGCGCAGATCGACCCCACATCGCCTACAAGTCGCTAACAGCTCTGGCTCTCCATTCCAATGGGCGATTAGCCTTAAATAGAACAGGGATGTGTTAGGAGGGGGAAGGGCGGATGGGACAAAGGCATGAGGATGAGAGATGGACAGGGGGGGAGGGAGAAAGGCGGAGGGGCGAGGAAGGAGGTAGAATGCAGGACAAAGGACAGGGGAAGGGGCGGAATGAAGGAGGATGGGGGATAGATGACCTGGGAGGAGGGGCGATGGAGGAGAAAGGAACGGTGCAAATCCGCCGGCCCCCTTGCGGGGCCACCAGGCTGCACAGCTCGGGTTCCAGCCACCTGCACCAATTCGAGGAGGGACCGACCGTCCCGGCATTCCTATATGCCTACCACGAAATGTTCTTAGAACCCCAAAATGTTCAAATAACAAAGACAATGTTCTCTTAGAGCATAAGTCCGATGTGTTAAGACAAGACGTCCCCATCCAGAAATGTTCTAAGAACAATTAGTGGAAACCACAAAGGTTCTAAGAACATTGTTTGGTAGGCCTATAGGCACGCCAGGACGCTTCGCCACTGCTTGACCAGTACCAGTTGCCAGTTTCCAGTGTCATCGTTCTTCGTCTCTGCTTCCTGCTGTGATTGGCTACCGTCCGCGCGAGGGGGGAGGCCGCAAACCGCCCTGGCTTCCCGCCCGCATCTCGCTGCCTGAACTTCTGACGGGTGCTGGGATGAGGTCGGGCATGTCCTCATGCAGGCGGATTTTGGAAGACAAATGAACAATACCCAAAACATATTCAAATCTAGTCAAAAGTGGTCGAAAAGTCGTCCCCAGACTATTGTTTGACTATTTGTGAATATTCCTCCTGTAGAGGGACAGGCTTGACTGAATGCTGGGATGGGAGATGTCTTTTGCAAACTCGCCCTCCCGAGGCCAAACAATCCTCCCGAATCACGTGCTTGGCTTGCGCTCTCGAGGCCGGAATGCCAAGCGCACTGCGCCTGACTCGCGCTCCCGAGACCACACATCCTCACGATTTGCACCTGGCTCGCGCCCCCGAGGCCAGACTGCCTGCGAACTTCTGGGCGAGGACACAGCGCAGCCTTGCCTTGCTCGGTGCCACGAAAAACGCGGCCCTGGGAACCCGCTCCCCTGCCGCCACGCCGCGGGCGCTGCGGTTTGCCGCGGTGCCCGTGGCGGGGCGGGCTGGGCAAGGTGGGGGGTGCGTTAAAGGGGGGGGGGCCTCGCCCGAGGTCTTCCTGAACTTCGTGCTCCTCGTCTTGTGCGAGCTCTTTCCCTCTGGTGGTCTCCCTGCGGTGGGGGGAGGGTGGATATTTACCCCCGCGTCGCACGCGCCGCGCCGCGGGCGCATTCCGGCCCTCACGCGTGGCCGGCGCCCTCGGCGCGCGCGTTGTCGGGCCGCTGTGGCGGCGTTTCCTTTCCCCTCACCCGTCCCTGCTCCTTTGGTTGGGGGTGGGGCCGCGGGGTGTCGCTGCACCCGCGCGCTCCCGCGGGGCGCGGCGAGCTGCGAGTGCGTTGCGCCTCCGCGGGCGCGCACCTGCCCAACGAGCAGCGCTCCCCGCGCTCTCCCCCGACCCTCGGGCTTCAAGGGTAGCGCCTTTGCGATTGGTTCGCGCTCCCGAAACTATATTTCTTTTTGATTCAACCAGGTTCGCGTTCCCGAGGCCAGCATCCGCTTCGGATTACAGTCGGACTCGATTGGGCAGGACACGCGAGAGGACACAAGACCCTTGCGCGGTCCACACTGCCACAGGAATGTAGGAGACATGGGTCGCAAGGCGCAGGACACGAGCGTACCCTTGATCTGACAGGGTCGACCTACTAATCTAGGCCGCCTGTACGCCAAAGTCGCGCTCCCGCGGCCAGAATCAGTGATGTTTGCACCAGGCTCGCGCTCCTGAAACCGGATCCCCTCGCACACCGTGTCAGACTCGCGCACCCGAAACCAGAACTCGCGCACACGTGCGCCAGATCCGCGGACCCGAAGCCAGAAAACCTTGAACATTACGCCAGAGTCGCGCGCCAGAGGCCAGAATCCCTCCTAAGTTACGCCAGATTCGCGCTCCCAGGGCCACTGTTCTGAAAATCGCGCCAGATTCACTCCCTGAGAAGGAAACAAAGCGTTCAACAAGAACTCCATCATTTCAAGGTGCTTGTCGCATGACGTTTCCAACACTTTTTAAAAGAACGCCGACACGTCCCACCATACCTTCGACATCTCCGAGCCTGATGGAGATGGGGGCTGCCGGCAGAGTGCGAAGCCCTTACGGATATATCGGCTGGACTGGGTGGGGGAGGAAGCTGTTGAAACGGAGTGAGAGTGGGGAGAGACGAGGGCCGCCGTGTCAAAGTTCTCCTCCTCCAGGCAAGTGAGCTGCTGCAAGGCGCCCACGAGCTTAAATACGCCATTGAACTGCTTGCTGGACTCAATGATTTCCTCCTGCGTGTGCATATTCCGTCCTCCTTCTCACAATCATCACCCCGCACAAACCCTCGTCCTCCTCGTTTTCCCTCTCCTCCTCCTCCTCCTCCTCCTCCTCCTCCTCCTCCTCCTCCTCCTCCTCCTCCTCCTCCGCCCCCCTTCGCCTCCCTCTTCCGCATCATCCCCAACATGCTCCTTCGCCTTCTCCTTTTCCGTCTCGTCGGCCTCGTCTTCCTCGGTCTCTTCCTCATTCTCAACCTCCGTATCCTCCACCTCACCCCCTCATCCACATCCATCACCTCCAACTCCGCCTATCCCTCCTGTGCTACAGCATCCGCCTCCTGGCCCCATCGTATTTTTATAATCACCTTACTCGTCCTCGTCCTCGTGCTCATCCTACCTACCCCCTCAACCTCCTTCCCTCGCCCTGCCTCCTCATCTTGCTACTCGCCCTTCCCCACTGGTCATGCATTCTCGTGGCGTGCTCTTGGACCGCAGACTCTGAACAACCGCACATAACGCCTCAGGAAGACACTGGGACACGTGGCGCACATTCAGCCGCTATCAGCAGGGCGGAGCACGAAGAGACGCAGGAGGGGGCATGGGGCGGGGAGGGAGGACGGAGTTGGGGGAAGGAGGGGGAGGATCATGAGTAAGGAGGAGGAGGAGGAGGAGGAGTAGGAGGAGGCGGAGGAGGAGGAGAGGGAGGAGGGTGAGGAGGAGGAGGAGGAGGAGGAGGAGGAGGACGAGAAGGAGGAAGAGGAGGAGGAGGAGGGGGAGGAGGATGAGGAGGATGAGGATGTTACACTCATCTCGAGGGCATGGATTCAGGGGATCTCGCGTCGGATTGGGGCTCTCCCCTCAACGGCGAGCTCCCATCTCATTGATGCTAGGGGGGCTCGCCCCCCAGCTTTCTTTCTGATAGCTGGCATGTAGTCTGACACCTCGCTGCGAGGCATCCCTCGTGCGCCCTGCAGCCTCAAGGAGTGTGGTTGGGGACCCTGTCGCGGGAAAACACAAAACATACACATACACACACTCGCGCGCGCACACACACACACACACACCACTCACACAAAACAAACGCACACACACACACACACGCACACGCACACGCACACACAGCCACATCGACACACAGACACACAGACACACAGGCACACGGGCACACAGACAACCAAACACAGAGACACACAGACACACGCACACTCACACGCACACACGCACGCACCCGCAACCGCAACCACAACCACACCCACAACCACAACAACGCACACGCACGCGCACAAGCACACGCACGCGCACGCCCACGCGCACACACACACACACGCGCACGCGCACGCGCACGCGCATGCGCACGCGCACGCGCGCACGCGCGCGCACGCACACACGGACCACACCACACGAACATACACACAACACACCACACGCACACACACACACCACACACACACACACGCATGACACACGCACACACACGCACACACACACAGACACAGACACACTCCCACCCCACCAACCCACCCACCAATCCACCCACAACACACACACACACCAACCACACACACACACGCGCACACACACACACACACGCGCACGCGCACACAGACCACACACACACACGCACCACACACACACACCACACACCCACGCAACACACACAAACACACAACACACAACACACACAACACACACGCACACACACACACACACACACACACACACGCACGCACGCACACACACATACACGCACACACAGACACACGCACGCACACACGCACGCACGCGCACACACACACACACGCACGCGCACACACACACACACACACACGCACGCACACAAACACACACACACACCCACACACACACCCACACACACACGCACACGCACACGCACACGCACACGCACACACAAACGAAACGCGCACGCGCACACACAGACACAGACACACAGACACCGACACAGACACAGACACAGACACAGGCACAGGCACAGACACAGACACAGACACAGACACAGACAACCACATACACACACACGCACACACACACGCACACACACACACACACACACGCGCACGCCCGAGGCCCACTCCCAGCCGCAGCAGCAGCAGCAGCAGCTGGGCGGGCGAGAAACACGCGCCTCTGGCCGACGCTCCCCTAAGCGTGCCACAGACGCGTCGATCCACCAGGCACGGCTGACTGGCCATCCCCACCACGACTGACAGGCGAGCAGCACGACCTAGGCGGCCAGAGTGAAAAAAAGGGAGGACGACCATTCAGAATTCTTGCTGGCGAGAGTGGACATTCAACATTCAGAATCGTCAGAGTGAGAGTGACAGTTATTGCTGGCTTGATGGGAGGACGACCAGGCCGAATTCTTGCTGGCCAGAAGTGAACAAAAAAAGAAAGGACGATCAGCCAGGAAGAGGGAGTGGCTGGCTGGCCCGCTGGGGCGGGAAGGTGGCTCCCCTGGAGTGAAAGAGCTGGAGACCTGAGGCCGTGCTGCATCCTCCTCCTCCTCCTCCTCCTCCTCCTCCTCCCTGGAGGAGGCCTGAAGCCTTGCTGCATCCTCCTCCACCCGAGAAACGAGCGGGGAAGCGGCCCTCGAGCCGACCTCTCGACGGCATCTGGTCGGCTCGCAGGGCTGTCATCCTCTTCAAGGTTTAGGGCATGTCCCCCTACAGGCGGATTTTGGGCGAAACCTGAAGTAGCCAAAACATGCTCAAACATAATAAAGATGGTCGGCAAATCGTCCCCATACTATTGCTGGGCTATTCCCCCGACTTAACCCACGGCCATCGTCGAGTCGCAGAAACATTTTGAGGATCAAGGGCAGGAAGAGGAACACTAGGAGATATCCAAGGAAGTGGAAACAATAATGTGGACGCTGAGGGTCAGGCCGAGGAGGGCCGACGGCAGCGGGAAGAGGGGGAGGGAGGACAATACGGCGCCCCCCCTTGCGGGCCAACAGGCTGAGGAGACCGAGCCGTCCTGATCCCTGCATCCTTGCCAACTCAAATGTTATTATACATTTATACATGCATATAGTTTGATACTTACAGTAGAGGCCAATCCACAAGAAACCTTCCACAAGAAATCCAACCCTGGCACCCCCGGGTATCCCTTGATTTTTGGTATGGGAGCGTCGCGCTTTCCATCGCAAAACCATCGAAACCCAAGACATCCAGGGCACCCTGGAGGTGAGCAAGGTGTCTCTTGGCATGGGCCCCCACTGTACTCCTATCGAGCTCCAATGGTGCAGTGTAGTAACGAGTCCGCGAAAGAGTGGGGGCGGGGGCGAAAACTGCCCGCGCCCCTCACATAATCAAACATGCTCTGCATTCCTGCGGGGGGCGGCCTGAGAGATGACCGCAGAGCCGGCCCCACGAGGCAAACACTGCCCGATTCCCATAAGACTAGGTCGGGCATGTCCTCCTACAGGTGGATTTTGCAGGAACGATAACAATTAGTAAACACATGCGCAAAACAATCAACATTAGTAGAACATCGTCCCCCCACACTATCTTTTATACAATGTTTGAGCATTCCTCCTGTAGGGGTACATGCACGACTTAACAGTAAGAAGACGTGCATTGTTAGCACACTCACTCGTTTCGTCTTGACAGCTTCTCTCGGACTTCTCAAGGTACCTCCACGCTCGTCAAAAACGGCCGATGGGGCCCCCAAGAGGGCCCAAGGACAACCCAACAGGGCCCTGAGAAGGACCCAGGGCCCCCAAAGACGACCCAAAACCGACCCCAAAAGCGTCCCAAGAGAGCCCCACAGGGGATATGCGAACTGATACTTCGAGCATTTTCCCTCCGAGATGGCTTCAAGAGCCCACCAGGAGCCCCCGAAGCGCCCCCAAGAGGCCCAAAAGGCCTCCAAGACGCCCCCTTGAAGCTCCCAAGAGGCACCCCCCCGAAACATGTCAAATGCACACAAGAGCCATCCAAGAGGCCCCGAGGCATCCCAAGAGTCGTCCTAGAGGCTCCTGACCCACAGCCCACGCACGGTTATGGGGCGGCCAAAAGGGGGGCGTCCAAGAGGGGGGGGGGGCGCAAATCATGGCCGGCGGCATGTGCGCGGCCCAGGGGGGGCCAGGAACGTCATGAAATAAGAAGAGGCGCCATGAAATCGGATGGAATATCATGGCCCACGCCATGATCTCCCCCCGCCCAGTCATCACCCCCCTCTCTGCCGCCCACGCACGGTGGCGGGTTGGGCCGCACGTCGCTGCCGTGCCAGATCACGCCCCAGCGCTCGTGATTCCGCTGCGGGGGCCGTGAGAGCGGCGCGGAAGGGGCGCTCGCCCTGCGCCCCTTCCCTCGGTGGAGGGGAGCGCGGCGACCGGGGCGCGCGCGCCCGCTGCGGGGGGGCGACCCCGACGTGGGAGCGGGCTGCCGAGGGCCGCCTCTGCTGGTGGGCAGCCCCTCAGCAACCCCACCCTCGGAACCTCGTCAAAACGGGGGGTGCGAGGAGGAGGGGGAGGAGGAGGAGGATGAGGATGAGGAGGAGGAAGAGGAGGAGGAGGAGGAGGAGGAGGAGGAGCAGCAGGAGGAGGAGGAGGAGGAGGGAGGAGGAGGAGAGGAGGAGGAGGAGGAGGAGGAGGAGGAGGAGGAGGAGGAGGAGGAGGAGGAGGAGGAGGGACCCCTCCTGGAAAAGCCCCTCTCCAAAAGCCCTCGTTGGACCCCTCCGGGCTGAAAGGGAGGGCGGCGGCAGAGCAGGAGGAGCAGGACACGCCCGCGGGTCTCGGCCAGAACCTGGCCGGCTGACCATGGCGACAAGCTGCCCGTGCTGGCGAGACTCAGACTTTTTTCCTGGGGCGACCCCGAGGATCGTGCCCGAAACAGCTTCGCGGTGCTGCCAGCCATACTTATCACCAGCCAAGCGTGGCCACGCAAGCACTCTGAGGGAGGGAGGGGGGGAGAAAGCAGAGGGCGAAAACATTAAAATAACGACAAGCGAGGGGGGAGGTGGAATGAGGTGATGACGTCTCCAGCTGCTGCGATATCCACAACTGATACATCCACCCATCAAACCTCTGACTATATCTCTGCAAACCCGGCTCGCACAGCTTGTCTGCGCTCGCCAAACTGACCTCGTGATCTGCATCATGTGACGTCACACTTGGATGCGTTTTCTGCTACCTTACCACCCCATGGCCAGTCATATATTCACCATGCGAGCAACCAGTCGTGGATATCACTGCAAGGCGAACGATCCCAAAGCCCGAGGAGCACTCGCGCCATCGAGCCCTGCGTTCCGAAAAAACCCTGCCGTCGACTCCCGTGGGCGGCCTGCGGTGCAAGGCAATGCGCAGCACTCGGTCCTTCGCTGCGTCCTCTGGCCTGGGAAAACAGCGTTCTCGTGGAAGCGGGTCCCCGCGCCCGGAAATTCGTCCGCGACCCACTTCTCATTCTTTTGGGATCGTTTTTTGACCGCCCTGGGGGGTTCACCTGGGAGCCCGAAAACGACAAGATAACTCCGAGAACGAAACCCCTTTCCTCAACGACCGCCTCTCTTCATGGCGACTCAGTGCGCGTCCTCGAAGCAGATCAGTGCCTGCGTGAGGAACTCGAAACATATGGACTCGAAGAAGCCAGGGTTGCCTGAGTTCTTGTCCACCTGGGACGCTGGCCCTCCTTCTGGTGCTGATAATACTCATCCTCCTCATCGTCCTCTCCCCTCCTACTCCTCGTGCTTATCGTCGTCGCGGTCGTCGTCGTCCTCCTCCTCCTCGCGGTCCAATGGGTGAGGAGCGAGGGGCCGTGAATCGTCCATAAGGTGGTGGCGCTGGCAGACGGACGTGACAGGCACGGCTCGACCAAATGCGGAGGGGACGGTGGGAAGGGGAATCGGGGACGGAAGCTGCGCCTGGAAATCGGGTCTGGGAAACAGGGGGTCATCAGGTCGGCTCTGGGGCGGAGGTGAACGGCGGAACGAGGGGGATGGAGGGAGGGAGGGGGAGGTTGGAGGAGGTGGGAAAAGAACGGGAAGGATAGGGGAAGGGATAGGTGGGCAGGAAATGGGTGGAGCGAAACCAATGGGGACCCGAAGGAAGAAGACAGACATATCTATATGCACTGTGTGTCCATACTTGTGTTAGCCAAGGTGGCTCCCAAACAATGTGTTTCTAGCAAAATTGTTCTCCAACCTACGTGGCGCAATATATGTGGTGCAATGAATGGTTGTTCACCTCCATTGCTCGCGCAACCATCCCACCCACCCACCCGCACCTTGGTTTGCAAAACCCACGCGGCGGCGACTGCGGTGGGTGCTTGGCGCTGGCTGGTGCATCTCTGCGGCCGCGTTGGTCCGCGCATGCTCGCGAGCGAAGCGGCCATCTAATTTGGCGCGACCGACGGAGCCGCGGTGGCGCTGACCGCTGGGCACTTCCCAACGGGCTCTCCAATGCGAGTCGGCGACTTGGGCGGGCGCGGTATCATGGCAACGTCGGTAACGGTAGACACGATGATGGTAGTAACGATGATAGTGACGATGATGAAAACGAAGACGGCAAGGCAACTGACGGCGTCGATGCTGATCACGCCGGCGACGATGACGGCGTCCTCGCGCTGCTGATGGAGATTTGAAACAATAATTCGACATGCGAGCGCGGCCGACGCGCGAAAATGGCCCGCATGGTGTCACTTAACACGGATCGTGTCCCCCCTCCGCACGCGCGCAATGGCGTTCGAATGATTTCGACATGCGGCGTGAGACGCCCGTTTGTCAGAAATTCATGAACATGGAACGCGGGTGCAAGCATTTTTTAAAACTGAGATTGCACAACCACATGTTTTTGTAGGTTTTTCCCCTGCGAAGCCTAAGGTTTCCTCAATCATTCCCGCATGCGCACGCGACGACGCGCGCGCGTGCACTTCGTCATGTTTTTTGCAAGGGGTTCTTCCGACAACACGCACGCAAGAGAGTCCGAACGATTTCGATATGCGCGCGCGAAGAGGCAAGGCTGGCAGCACGTGATGCACTTGTTCTTTATTTGAAACAAAGTTTTCAATTATATGGAAGAGCACGGGCGCAAGTTTTTGTTGGTTGCTGTTCTGTTTGAACACTTGCTGCGGAGCCATTTGCTCCCTCAGAGCTTGCCTCCGGAGGGGTCCTAGCAGATTCATATTGTTAGGTGAGGTTTGTCACCGATTTCCGCGGCCCGCCCGGGTGCCTGGGTGCCCGTGTGCCCAGATGCCCGGGTGCCTGGGTGCCTTATAGCCCTATAGCCCTTTAGCCCTGAAACCTTACAGCCCTATAGCCCCATAGCCCTATAGCCTAACAGCCTTATAGCCCTATCGCCCTACAGCTCTGTAGCCATATAGCCCTATAACCCTATAACACTATAGCCCATAGCCCTATAGCCCAATAGCCCAATGACCCAATCGTCCTATTGCCCAATAGCTCTATATCCCTATAGCCCTACTGCCCTATAGCCCTATAGCCTTATAGCCCTGTAGCCCTATAGCCTTATCGCCCTATAGCCCTGTAGCTCTACAGCTTTATATGCCTATAGTGTTATAGCCCCATAGCCCTATATCCCTATATCCCTATGTATGGTCCTACAGCCCTATAGACACACTGTGTCACATCATGCTTCAACCTGCTGGAGGGGGTGCCGGGGTGGCTCTGCCGGGGAAAAGTGTGCGCCACTCCGTTTCCGGGTGGGGGAGGGGGGGGGTGCGTCAGTTGTCTGGTTCTGGAGGGGTCGTCAAAATCCTGTTGTTTTTTTTACATTTGAGATCATCGCCTTTTCGGTTTTCAAAAGCCGACGGCGATCCAAGAGGCCCCCAAGACCGTCGCAAGACATCCCAAGAGGCCCCGAGGAGGAGCCAGGACGGCTCAAGACGGCCCCAAGATAGCCCAGGGAGCTTCCAAGACGACCCCGAGAGGCCTCCCCAGTGGCCTTAAGAGGATGAACCCGAACTGACCTACCAGTCCTCCACCCCAAGCTCCTAAAGGCCCCCAAGAAAACCTAAGAAGCCACAGAGAAACCCCAGAGGCCCCCCAGAAGTCCCCAAGAGCCCAGAAGCCCCACGAGGCGCTCACTCGCGTGCTGCCAGGCAGTAGGTGCATGGCTGCCACGACGACGACCACGAATCGTGTCCGAGCAATACTACTAGTAATTGCTCGCACACGAGTCGTGGTCGTCGTCGTGGTCGTCGTCGTCGTGTTCGTGTTCGTGTTCGTGTTCGTGTTCATGTTCGTCGTCGTCATCATCGTCGTCGTCAATCGTCGTCGTTACCCCGTTCGTCGGTCGTTGTCGTAAATATCCCGCTCGTCGATCATTGGTCGTCAA